GCTGCTCGAGTTGCCTCTGCCAACTCGTGCTCCATTTCCGCCAGCTCGTCCTTCAGGTTCATCACGTTGCGTATCGCGCTCGTCTCGCCGCGACAATGAGCTTGAGCAGCGGCAATATGCCGCTCGCATTCAGCCATGAGTCGCTCTTTGTCATCTTCAAGTGCTCTGACGCGTGCCTCGGACGCGGACAACTTTTTTCGCAGGCCGTCGTTTCCTGGGACGTCAATGTAAAGACGCCGAATGCTCGGTACGATGTATTGGTGGAATTTTTTTGGGAGACAAGTCAACTGTGTGGCATGGTTCAATGAACGAGAAAGAAATCGTGCGATGTGACTACAAACCTCCGGTCGTACTGCACGATGATGAGTACGACGTGATAAGAAAGCAGCTCGACGACTTACCTACGTTGAATTTTTCTCGACATGCCGGACAGGTTGAAGTGAAACCGTCTGGGCTCGTTGCTGAGATATGTGCTGTGAGGCAATCTGTGCAGTAGACATGACCTTGAAACACGATAAAATCAGTGGCCAAGCCTACAGAAAAACGCTGCATGTAGCGCACCGCAGGGAATCGAGACTGGTTCTTTCAGCCTGCTGGAGAGACATATACTGCAGCTCATGGTTCTATTCCACTATAAGTAGCGGAGACGACGGTGGTGGTAGCGGACAAGACGCGAGCGTGACTGTCTTTCGCGAGATGTCACAAAGTGTGACTCTCCCCCGTTTGGACCTCTCTGGCGGCCATTGGGGTCCATTTTCTTTGCTTCGGCTTGGGTGTTCTTCCTCTTCTCCTCGCTTTTCTACGCCCTTTTTTCTTGGTTTTCTCTTCAAAGTGAATGTCTTCTGGCAGCCGTTTATCATATCCAACTTCTCCGCCCCCAAACGAACGAAGCCTAAGCACACCCAGGTCCGCAGACCGTCCGTCGTCACGCAGCTCAATCCGTTCAACTTCCACTCGCGCTCCGAGCCCCTCGTTCTCTTCAGACGACCCAGGTATGTTTTGGTGGGCATTCCGGAGTGAGCGGGAGCCTAACTTACACTGCCTTACAGTCGCGGTACGGAACCAGGTCAGTCGACGACGAACACTCTGTGAAAGATTCTCACACGACCCAGGTCTCCAGCCTCAAACATTCCATCAGGTGGGAGCTCTCAGATACCTATTTAACGAGGAAGTATTTATCTAATTCCTATCAGACAGCAGCAAGCGCAACTGCAAAAGGCCGAAAACATGTTACTTCGTGGACCCAGGCCATACCCGTCAGAGCTTTCGGACCCCATTCAGCCGCTGCCTGCTACTTCCCCCACCTCTCCCAGTAAGATTGCCCGCCGTTCAAGTTACGATGTCCTCTCTGGCATCGCTGGAGCTGATTCAAATTTGCCGCTTCCTCGCCGCGATACCAGTAGTGTACCCTTGGAGGATTTCAAGGAGGGCGTACCCATGAGTTTCTCCAATGGCGGCCCCTCGTCTCCTCCCTCGAGTTATCGGACTGGTAGCCCCACACGGACACTTAGCCGTGCGTGTCCTTGATACTGCACTTACATCTCACTCACGCGAAACATCCAGGCATTCCCGTAGCCTCTGTCGGTTCGTGTTCTCTTCCTCTATTCTGGCATGACCCTCACAGCCGGTTGCAGGCAACGCCCGCGCACTTGCAGACGATGGCCAAACTCGTGTCAGCGTATCATCATCTTCATTACTTACGATAGACACGGATACCAAGTCCCCCTCGTCGCTACAGCCTCCCTCTCCCAATCGCCGTCTCTCACTCACGCCGGGCAACACGACCAGAGTTCTTGCGGATCTGCAGACCGGCGTATCCAATGCGCGCCATGCCCTGGAAAACACCAAGGCACAGTTGCGGGTTTCCCAGCGCAGTGTCGCGCAGCTGACGCGGCAGACGGAGGATTTGAAAGAGGCCAGGGAGCGATTGAGATTGGAGAACGAGGGGCTGAATAATGTTGTCGCCAGGAAGGAGCGGTTGTTGCAAGAGGTACGCGTATCTCCCGCAGGTCGACGAAAGATTCAGAGATAACTTTCTTCCGCGGCTTGTCAGGTCCTCGAACGAGCGCGCAAGGCGGAGGCGGAAGCCACTACGCTGAAGACACAACTCAAGTCTGAGACCACCACCTCGAAAAAGACCATGCGTGAGATGGAGACCGCTCTTGCAGAGTCGACTGCGTTGTCATCAAAGTCCGAACGCGAGTATATCACTCTGCGAGACAGCATGAAAGGCCTTGTTGAGGGGTTCAAGAGTGACACGGATCGGCTACGGGCGGAGATGACGAAGCGGGAAGAGAAGCTGAGGGGCGAGGCGGAGAGCGCTGGCAAGAAGTATAGGAAGCTGCTAGAAGAGATCAAGGGTTCTGGGGAGGGGCGGGCGGAGATCAAGGCTGCGCGGGAGGCTGACCAGGCGGCGGAGCGGGAGCTGGAGAACGGGTGGCAGGAGGAGATTCGACAGCTCAAGGAGGAGGTGAACAGGAGCAACACGGAGAGCGAGGAGACTGCGGAAACTGCCAGGGGAGTTGAAATCTATGCTTTTGGACTGCCGAATACCATGCTTACTCGTTTGTTTACAGGCAATTAGCGGCGGAGTTGGCGCGGTTGAGACGGTTGATGCAAAATGTGCGGCGAGCCTCGAACGACGTCGACGATGGTGCAACGCCAGCCGCGCCTTGAGGTGGAGGATACGTATACCCCGGATTCACGTAGTGTACGACCCCCTGCCAGGTGCCTAATCGCTTTCATTTGCATTCTCTACTCTGTTTTGCATTACCCTCTGCATTGTATTATTTTCACAGTGACATTGTATAGTCCCTTTCCCTGCCTGTCTCCTCCTGTTCCCCTTGGACCTTAGACCTGGAAATGCACGAAAAAAGTGAGACCCGGGTATTCGGGCCAGGGACTTTGCCGGTTTCATCCCGCCAAGCCAAGTCCGGTTTAGAATCACGCTACGAATGCACTCAATATAAACCCGGAGCACATGGATCGTCTACGCTTACTCTTTTTTTCTCCCCACAACCATGTCGACGATATCGACCCCCGTAACTGAGCTCTTTGGGATCAAGCATCCCGTCCTGCTCGCAGGTAATATTCTCCTACTCCCGCCCATGAACCGAGTAGTTGACACTGCGAAGGGATGAACATTGCCGCCGGTCCCGAGCTCGCTGCGGCCGTAAGCAACGCTGGCGGGTTGGGTGTCATTGGTGGGCTCGGGTATACCCCGAAGGTCCTTCGCCAGCAGGTACGTCTTGGTCTCGCCGTTCCGGGGATGTTTGGGTGCCGACCCAGTGGGTCTTGATAGATTCGGTCGGTGAAGGAGGCGCTGGTGGATAAGTCACTGCCGTTCGGCGTCGACTTGCTGATCCCTCAGATTGGAGGGTCGGCGCGGAAAACCAACGTGAGTAACTCCGATATTGCTCTCAAGTGTAGGGACTAATAGCGCAACAAAATAGTACGACTACACGAAGGGAAAGCTTATGGACCTTATTGAAGTCATCATCGAGGAGAAGACTTCTCTATTTGTCTGCGCTATCGGTATCCCTCCCAAGCACGCCGTCGACAGATTACACCAAGCCGGCATTCCCGTACGTCTCTCGTTTCTTAGCGGAGTCGTTATGCCCTTACGTTGTCGCAATGGGATAGATTATGAACATGGTTGGACACCCGAAGCACGTCGCGAAGGCACTCGAAGCCGGTGTCGACCTCATTTGCGCACAGGCCGGCGAGGGCGGAGGACACACGGGTGATATCCCCGCTAGCATCCTCATCCCCGCATGTGTCGACGCGGTCAAGGGCCACAAGTCGCCACTTACGGGCAAGCCGGTATACGTTATCGGCGCCGGCGCTGTGTATGATGGACGGGGTCTTGCGGCCAACCTCATGTGGGGCGCCGAAGCAGTCTGTGCGTTTGTCGTGTGACTTGAGATTTTTTGATATTGGACTGACGGTGTGTCTTTGCGTGCGTAGGGGTCGGTACACGTTTCGTCGCTGCAACGGAGGCAAGCGCACCGCAGAAGCACAAGGAGATGATTATGAGCGCTGGGTTTGAGGATGCGGTTACGACTCTCATCTTCACTGGGCGACCGCTGCGTGTCCGGAGGACACCGTATGTCGATGACTGGTGCGTTTTATCCATTCACTTTCCCTCCAACAGTCGTTGACTCGCGTTGTGCAGGAACAACAACCGCCAGGCTGAGATCAAGGAGCTCACGAGCAAGGGTCTCCTCCCGCACGAAGTTGAGCTTGAGAAGCACCCCGAAAAATCGCTCGAAGGTCGTCCCTGGCTCATGGGCCGTGTCTCTTCCGTGCGCCCACTTCTATGAATCCTCCGTTTGCGCTCACATAAGCTCATAGCTCATCAACGACGTTTTGCCCGCCAAAACCATCGTCGACAATATGGTAAACGACGCAGCTGCCCAGCTCAAGCGCGGGAACCAGTATCTCAGCTCCAAGGCGAAGCTTTGAGTAAGCCACAAGAACAAGAACAAGAACAAAAGTTGAATGTCGTTCGTTGAATGCATCTGTCCAGTCCTAGCCTAGTAACTTAGTCGTATTTATGGGGTTTATCAGCCTTTGCAATATATTCTGTGGAATTTTGTACCGTGTACAGATGCTGGACGGATTTGTGTGTGCGAGTTCCGAGTAGCCTGGGATGTGTTCCTCCCACTTCGTTCCACTGGCAAGTTCCGGGGTTCCTGTTGCTGTGTTGAACTTGCTCTTACGACCACGAAATGCCATGATCTATCCTGGTCCTTTGCTGGAAGCCTTTTTGGCCCAAGAAAAAAGCTTCCTTGCGGACGCTTTCTGTCAACCTATGAATAACGGGACCTGCCAAGACTTGGCCAAGACCCCACTTCGTTAAAAATATTTTTTGGTGCGATCAAAATTTAAATAGCAAAACCAAACAACCGCTTCGCATCCGAAAAAGGGAATTTACTCTACATTTGCGCGTGTACTGAGCCTGATAATGTGACAGATGTTTGACTCCGTAAGGTGAATATGACGCGATGGCTGAGTGGTCTAAAGCGACAGATTCGAATGCCAACACATGTATATCTTGTTTATCTGTTCCACTTTGTGGGCGCAGGTTCAAATCCTGCTCGCGTCGTGCGGTTACCATAATCAGCTTTTTGCGGCGATTTTGTGTGGCTATTAATCAGTCTTGATCAAAACGTAAAAAGACTGAACAGCTACATGTACAAATGCCCGAGAAACTGATCTTTGATTTACACACAAAAACACCAAAAATGAGCGTGGAGACAGAAAAAATGGGATATATCACAACGAGCGATTGTACTTTGGCACACCCAGCTTATCCCGGATTGTCTTGCCGTGGGACATGAAGAAGATGACAGGCAGAAGCGTGACGATGCCGACCAGCGACATAGTGACGGCCATCCAGTGGAATCCAATCTTGTCGCCCAAGGGACTGAAGTGAAAACATGCTTGAGCACAAAAAAAGAAAACCAAATGAAATGACTGACATAGCCCAGAATCCAGCTATAAGGAGAACAACTGGTTAGACAACAGACTCTGCTTGAGTGAACAACGACGTACTTGTCATTCCCACAGTTTGACGACCAAAGTTCAGAACTTGAGCGATTTCAGGTGTTTGCGGTCGATAGCAATCGGCATTATACGAGTATACGACGGTTGAGATGATCCTGGGGTGTTTGATTGGTTTTTGTGCCCGAACAGATTGAAGAACACTCACTGGATCGCGAAACACATGATGCTGAATCCCATCGTCGGCCCGATGTACGGGGCTGCATCGAGATGAGAATGTCGTCAAACAAAACATCAGGCTAGGAAGCTCACTCTTGTATTGGATGCAGAAACCCCAGATGAGTAACCCAATCTATTTTAGTTCAATTTCATTCAAACGTCAAAGGACACAAAAGCTTACAGGTTGAATGACTGCACCGGCCCAGATGCCGTGGAGTCTACACCGCGTTCAATGTCAAGTACGAAGATCAACATATCGCACGTACCTGACTTCCGGGACAATGACCCCGTCCTTTTTGCCCTTGCGACTGAGATACATGGATCGGTCAACGACGATTCCACCGAGAAGCTCGCCTAGGGTTGATCCGATGAGAGTGCCGATTCCGAGAGCAAGCCCTGTCTGCGAGGCGTTGAACTTGTAAAGCCGACGGAAGAGTGTCGCGGATGTGACGGCCGGGAGGATGGAGCTGAGAGTGAATGTTACAGAGTAGTACAAAGCAGTCAAAAGGACAGTAGGATATTTGAACCTGCATCAGAGTCAGCTTGGTGAATGTCGGGGAAATAAAAATCGACAGACATAATGAATTGTTGGAAGAAGTCGGAAAGTTTGAGGTATTTTCCTTTCGGACGCAGACCCCAGAGCTTCATTCTTCGCAAGATAGGTTTGTCCGTGACAACGGGCGTGGATCCACGAAGGTACAGAGTCTCGGGAAGACAGAAGAACATGACGCCAAACATCGTCATGTCGAGGATCGCCGGCAGATAGTAGCACCACCTCGAATGTTGGTGAGGATCAGATAGAGGCTAGAGTTATTCTGCTTACCTGTAGCTCACGAATTGCCCCAAGAATCCACCTACGGGGGATGGTGAAAGCCTTTCTTGGGTTATTCAGAGACACACTGACCTGGAATTGGCGCGACGTGGGCCGAATTAGTGAGGAAAACAGTGAATATCCCCATAGCACGGCCTCTGGTGCTTGTCCGTCAGAGAAATACGGGGAAAAAGAGGGAGGAGGTTACCTTTCATGGAGGAAGAAGGTATCAGAGACCATGCCAGCGCCGAGAGTGAAGAAAGATGAAGTGCCGAGACCGTTAAGAACCTGTTATCAACGTCAGAAGCCGAGTTTGAATCTTGATTACAACCCGTACCCGAGTCGCAATTAGCTGAGACCAGGTATTCGCTTTTCCGGAGCCCAGCGATGATGCGGCGGCAATGAGAGTTGTGAAGAGAAGGAGCGGGCGACGGCCATAGGTATTTGCCAGTGGCACCCAGATGAAGGAACCAATGCCAGCGAAAGCTATGTCAGGAGATCAGCAACGCTTCAACCTGAAAGAGAGCTTGATGTTACCTATGGCAATGGTAGTTTGATAACTTGGGATGAGTTGAGAATTGAGATAACATCATAGTCGCTCAGTGGAAGACACCGTGACTCACCTCGCCTCCACAGTCGATATATGAAAATGAGCCGCAAGAGGTACGAAGGCTAAAGAAAAGTTGAACAAAGAAGGCGAGCGTGGAACGACCTCTAGCTCACCGGGATTGACCGTGGCCTGGTTCAGGGGACCAAGAAGGGCAAGGAAACTGACTTGCAGCAAGATTGCGACCTGGCTGAAGTCAGCACAACTGTACTTGGAATATGTTTGTATCGTCTACCTTCAACCATTGAGGAAAGTTGAGAGGATCAGAGGGATCATCGGAAGGCTGAGGTATGAGAGGGAGTCCGGTCTTGTCGAGCTTCAAATTTTGCCCGGACCGGCCAAGGTTGACATGCACGCCCTCTGTATAACTTGCTCAACGGGGATAGAGGAAAGAGGAACGGATAGACAGACGCGATTCAAGATCTCCAGCATCGGAAACGTCCACTTTATGGTCCTGCCCAGAAGATTTGTCGTCGATTTCGCCAACCTCTTTTGAGGACATTTTCAAAAGTGCTCTCGGGTGGAGGGAGAAGACAAAACGGTAGGGCAAGAGCGAGCCCAAAAATAGTACATATACCTCACATTTGTTGAACTTGAGAACCGAATGACAGCTGCCGCACCCCAGTTGCCAAGCGAGCGAAGGGTTGGAAAGAAAAAACAAATGGAACTGATATATGAGGTTGATCGAGTCCGACCTTCGGCACGCGAGCAAAAAACCACTCAGATGGCGACTGGCAACTGCCGATAAATTGAAGGTATTTCGGGTTCGAAGCACTTCATTAGCGATTCGACCACCTGCAAGTGCTGCAACCAAGTTCTGAACCTTCTGGCGTCGGCTCCGACTCGAGTCTTTGCCAATGGCATGACCCAATGGCAACTGTTCGAAAAAAACGACGACTGGGATTGATTTATTTGGTGCTTCCTAGTACTAGTAGGCCATAGGACGTTCAGGGGTGGTGGAGGAAAGAAACCGAACGAACGTGATCGTGTGACGCGTATGTCACGGTGACCCTCTTAGCCGGGCCGATCGGGCCTCCTACAACAGCTCTTCTCTCTGTTCTCCCAGCTCGCTTTCGAGTGTTTCGCCCCTTTGCGCTGCTATCTGCACTTTCATATGGCGCCCTTGCAACTTTCACTTGCCTGCTGGGACTACGATCGCGTTAAAGCCCTGGAAGATGGACGTGTGAGACCTGAGGGAATTGAACTCAATTTCTTGAATCTCAGGTATAAGACCTCAATACACGCTCTTGCCGCTCCTCATACGTTTCCTCTCGTCTTCTCAGAGTAGAAGAAACGTGGGTCACATCCGCTCTGCCGTATTCTGCATGGAAAATTCAGTGCCCTTTAGTTTCTTCAGACAGCTCAAAAATCAGGAATTTGATGTCAGCGAACTTTCTCTCTCATCCTATGTTGTGAGCCTTTACCCGAAGAAGAAATCTGCGACCCTTCATCTTCTGATGCAGCTCACGTTGAATCACGAGGATCCTCCTTTCTACGCGCTTCCCGTGTTTCCGTCGCGATTTTTCCGCCACCAGTCCATTTACGTCAACACTAAAGCGGGGATCACACATCCTTCTCAGCTCTCCGGGCGTCGCGTTGGTACGCCTGAGTTTCAAATGACTGCACCTGTCTGGCAGCGCGGCATCCTTCAAGACGAATACGGACTGAACTATGATGCGCCGCATTATTTCACCGGTAACGTGGAACCCAGCAGTGTTGAACGCAAGGAGAAAATCGCTTTGAATCTCGGCGATAACGTCAAGATTCAATCTATCCCGCAAGGTAAGTGTTTAGCGCAGATGCTCGCCGATGGCGAAATCGACGCGTTAGAGAGCGCGTGAGTATCGTCCTCGTCTTATATACTCTCAGCTAATGTTGCAGGACGGCACCCTCCACTTTCGGAAAGCATCCTGATGTCGGACGACTTTTCCCAAACGCCATGCAAGTTGAACAAGGTACGCCTCGACCCATATCGCAAACTTGAATTGGACCATCATCAAGAATATTTTCGCCGTACTGGAATTTTTCCAATCATGGTAACTATGAGCTGTATGCCTGCACTCCACATTTATGTTCACCGTTTCCAGCATGTGATCGTGGTGAAGCGGTCGGTGTTAGAAAAACACCCATGGGTCGCTCGTTCGCTCACGAAAGCCTTCGCCGCCGCTTTCGAATATGCCTATGCAGCCATCCACGAGCGTGGTGCATTGAGGTTAGTTCCTATGCGATGATGCGTCTCCAGAACCCCCAAACCTCGCGAATTTCAGGTACATCCTACCGTGGTTACAATTCCACGTTGAAGAGACGCAAGCTGCTATGTGCAGTGACGGTGAAGATAAGTGGTGGCAGGACGGCCTCACGTCTCAGAATCGGCGTACTCTGGATAAATTTCTCGAATATTCCTTCAACCAGGTACCATTCAGTCTTTCTTTCAGTTTGTAATTTACCCGCTCAATCATGTTCAAGAGCCTAGCGAAGAAGAAGTGGCAGGTGGAGGAATTATTCGCACCCGGCAGTCTCGAAGGTTTCGTCGTATGAACGACGGAATATGCCAACTTCGCAAGCACGATTCTGATCCGATTCAGAAACCAAGCACGAACTTGAGATCTATACCACTGTATTCATTCAGTTGACTCCTGATCTAAATATATCTCAGGTGTTCAAGGAAACCGAATTAAGCGATACCAACCACCGCAACTGGCGTAAGTATCACGGGCACGGAATGGCGAGATCCCCGATGCAGGATATTCTCGGCCATTTCAGAGCAATTTTCTGAAGTGCTCAAGATATTCGTGCGCAAGGTGTGCAGTTCGTGCAGTGTGGAATCTGATGCGATGAGATTCAATTTTCTCCCGCAGCCCTGAACCGGTTGCAAAACCAGAACATCGCAACAAGAAAGGGGTTGGCTTCTCCAATATATTCGGTTGTCAGAGCCGATGTCGCGACTGGGATTCCAAATCCAGAA